CCAAATGTTGTTTTCTGACATGAGCATGCACACCCTCGCACAGACACACACACACATAAAATTAAAAAAAAAAAAACATGTAGCCTTAGCTCAGTTTCCTTGGAAGACTGACAGATATAATCAAACTGAAAGTGCGCATCACAGAGCAAAGAGTACATAAACACTATATCCATTCTGACCATTTAGCTACGCCACATTGTGAGCAGACTGTTTAAAGACATAGACCACCTTTTTTTTTAACACCCTAGAGCTAGAGTCCCCTGCATATAGAAATTCCCTTTCCGTTTTATAAATTAACCAAAAGCAGAGTTGGTTTCATTAGATTTCATTGATATAGCAACTATGACCTCCTTGGAGGTCAGGCAGGGGGGTTACATTTACCCAGCATCTGGTATAGTGCCTGGAACTGCACAGAAGCTCAGGGTGTGGTGTCCTATAGACTAGATCGAGTGTGTACATGCCATCGCATATGTGCTGGAGGGGTGTCATGAGCACCACACCACGCACTGTAGCTACGATCACCTTCATTTCTTGTGGGTGATGACAAGAAGCAAAAGGGGAAAAGAGGGAAGTGGGGAGAGGGGAAGGAAAAAGGGGAAGAGGAGGTAGAGGAGAGGGAATGGGAGAAACAGGACCAGTAAAGACTGAACAGTGGCTGAAAATCAAAGACAGGAATAGGGGCGTGGTTGTTAATACGAACAATCATTTGATCGCATTTCACAGAAAAATAAGAAAGTTCTCAGGGATGAGAGAACAAGATCTCAGCCCTGTGGCCACAAGGAACACACAGACAATACAAGAAGAAAGGCCTGGAGAGTGGAGAAAAAGGGAGGAAGACAGTCCCTGCCCCCCTTCTTTGACCATGACCTGCAATGGGAGGGCTCAAGTTCATCTCCTGAGGCAAAGGCCGGGTTTCAACTTCAAAAACCAGCTAGAATGATGCAGCACAAGTGGGCCACAGGCTCCTTCACTCAAGTGACCTTAGCTGCTTGTTTCCATGGTAACAATGCACATCCCAAACTGTTCCTTCCTGTGTAGGAGGCAACATTGCAGAGAGAGAGGAAGGCAGGATTTAACACTGGCTTTTCTTTCTTCTGACCCTTCTTCTGAGTATTACAGTCTCCTGAGGAAAGCATCCCCAGAAGAGGATGTTTCTGTGACACTATTTGCAGATGCACGCCCCAGGACACAGTTTTAAAGGAAGGTGGAAGTTGCGTTGGCTTTGGTTTCACACGCGCTGGGTGTTCCCCAGCAACCCACTATTTCTTTATCAGCCCGCCAAACAGAAGGTCCAGCATGTTGTCCTCATGTTGAAAGAGAGAAGTCAGAGAGGTTGGAGAGCTTCCCCAAAGCTCCAGAGCACACAGTAGCAGAGTTGAGCTAGAAAATGGACATGACAAATCTGGGTGTCTACCAGCGTCCTCAACACATGGTCCTCCTGTAGTCCAACGCTAGTCTGAACCATTGCCCACCACCTCCCTGCAGCTGGTTGAATCCTGCAGTTTTCTTCAGTGTTGAGTCCTGACTTTAGAATATGGAACAAAAACATGCTATGTTTAAACATGGAGCTTAAAATGCATTGTAAAATCAACATTCTGCCGGCCCCACAACATCTAGGGTTAGAGCAGCATTTTCTCCAGCCGAACCACGGAAGCACGTCTTACCACAAACCCTCCAATCACAGCTCCAAAGGCACCATAGGGTCCACTTTCCAACCAGAGTCTGGAGCCAAAAGCACTCAACCATTGGCTCAACTTCAGCCCTTTCCAGTAGTTTTGGTCCCATGATTCTGTCCCTGAAAGAAATTCTTCCTTTGCAGTATCTCTGTGTGACCCTGACATACAAAGGTGTAATTAGAACAACATGGAGCCAGCGGGATGGTCCATTTACCTCAGCCTGTACCATTCACATGATTTTGAAATATGTTTCTAATATCTGAGGTGCACAGGGCCAAATTCCCTTCACAGTTTTTCACATGCATGAGTAAATCCACACAGACTAAACCCCTTGGGCCTTAGGTTCTACTTAGAAGTTCTTTTTTTTTCTTTTAAAGAAAACAAATATTCCATTAAAACGACACAGTGTACTCTGCATATTTTTAGGACAATTAGAGTTTAGAATTCCCTCTTCTTCCGCCCATTGCAACAAAAAAAGAGAGAGATTTCTTAACTCTTTCCTTACCAAAAATGAATAGAAACTGAGGTAAAGGATTTTCTGATCTTTAACATACTCTTTCCATGCTGCTTGTCAATGATACTGAATGGTGGATTGAGGCCATTGCTATACTATTCCAGAAGGAGCCAGGCTCCCCTTGCTCCATTACCAGATCAATCCTTTTCAGGTAACTATTTACAAACCTATGGAAACATTCCTTTGAAATAGAAACAAATGAAATTCACAAGAAACAGACCCACATAAAAGTAAGGAGATTTTCCCCTTGTCTATGTGGTTTGAAATTAGGTCATATGTTTTGGTCACTTTTCTTTAGCGCTTCTGACTGTGAAAATAAACTTATAAAGGAGAAGCTGCCCAGGCTGGCCCCAGCTCAGCCTGTGAGACAGAGATACATCAAGACTACGTGGGAGAGACCTAGAAATCATTTTTCCTGGGGAGGAGTCTGAAACAGAATCCCAGCTGTGGGCTTTGCATTTGATTACGTGCTTCAGTCTGTTCATACGGCAACACCCTGCCCGTTAAGCCTGGACCACTGGGGCCACACATGTGGATGGTGTTTGCCAAGTCAGTGTGCAAATCAAATGCTTTCTTGCAACCAAATTTGGAGAGACATCTTAGCAGCCCTTGCCAAGCCGCTCACATTCAAGTCCAAAAGCTCCCGGGCCTTTTCAGAAAGTGATGTAAGACCATCCTTGGCTTGTTTTCCCATCCTACAAAGTGGATCAAAGATGGAAATGACACTACATGTTCACCCTGTGACAAAAGATGTGCCTTCGTGGAGGCCTGACCCCGGAGGTGAGTAGAATCCTGTGACGGCTTGTAATAGCATAGAGACTAGAAATTATATGTATATTAAAGGCTCAAAGAACTATGACTTCTCAGGGAAAATGTGTTTATTTAAATTAAAAATACTGTGAAAATTACAAACCATTAAATACAAAAGACAATTGTGTACAACCCAATGTAGTAGAAGGAAGTATATACATCATTTTGTAACAGGCGCAGACAGACTTGCACCAAACAGGATTAAGCAATGGAAAATGTGACAACGCACATGTCTGTCGCAGTAAAGTTTCAGAATTCAAGTGATTCCAGGCAAGAGGCCAAACTTAACTTGGCTTATTTCAACTTAAACGGCCCCCTTTGGAGTAGGTCCACACTCTGAATCTTAAAGTGAACAGAGGGCCCCTTTTCCCCTCGGACATACATTACCTCTACCTCTGTGTCAAAAACTGATTGAAAAACCAGCTCCTATACTGTTTGCCCCTCGTGGAGACAGTAGTAACTGCTTTGTCTCCAACCCAGGGAAAGTTCGGATAAATAAAAATCAAAAAGGTTTTTCCCTGCTTGGCCTTTGGGTTTTTTCTGCTTCCTTCTGAAGGTCTTCTTCAGTGGCTAAAAGAGCCTGCTGCAAGGTTCTGGACCACACATGGCATGGAGTACTGGCTAGCGGTCCTGAGAGCCTCATTTTAGCCGTCTCTTTCCCTCCGCTGGGAGTGTTAACATCCTCCCGGCTACAGAACTCTGCAGAGGAAACTGTGCTGCCTCTCCTGTCCCGTCCTGGGAAAGCTACAGTAAGGATGACTGCTGATCAGCCCCAAACTCCCCAGTCACACGTATCTAGTCTCCAACTGCGCCTTTAAGTCAACACATCCTTCTCCAGACTAAGCAGCCAAAGGGGAAATACTTGGTCCAAACTTCCTCACACCAGGCCAGGGAGGATTTATCACACAGTACAAAGTCTAAAGATGTCCTCCCAGCCCCCTGGGACTGCACAGCCTCCGGAGCCTCACAAAGGCAATGAGCCTCACGATGACATGCCCAGGACCACACAGTAAATGATCGTCAGGGCTCAGATGACGAAGCACAGTGTTTGGACCACAGCTCTGTTCAAGCTCTCCTGAGTATGCTCTTCTAGGTCTCAGCTACATGAGAAACCCCCACAGTGTGAGGCCCACATATGTCCTCTCTGGCCTTGGGAAGCTAGGCTGGGAAAAGAGCCATCCACGATGTTGCCTTGTGTAATGCCACCATTACCCAGTCTCTAAAGGTCAAGAGGACCACCCTGAACAGCCATCCTGAATGCAGGCTTCATTCTGAGGAAGCCCACTGACAAAGAAAGCCATGCTCACCTGCAATGTTGTACAGTCACAAGTCAGAGTTCAAGCTCACAGGTGAGACAAAAAGCTCAAATTAGGTCATAGCTTATACCCCCAGCTGATGCGGTCATATGTACACATTGCTTTCTCTCCTCCTACTGTGAAAACAATCTGGGTTCTACCTCCAGCTTTCTCCGTAGCAAAATTCCCTGTCAAGCATTCCCCTTCCTAATCCAAAAAACCTCCAAAAGAAATGTGTAACTCTCTGTGACCAAATGCCACAGGCACACAATAAAGACACTTACAGCCAATCAGATCTAGAAGAACAAAAGCTCTAGGCAAATTAGCAAATCAAAAGTAGTCCTTCAGCCTGCTCTGGGCAGTTGTCAGCCCTGGGCACAAACAGATGCTGCAGAAGTTGCCCAGGGCATCCAGTGAGAAAACAACGCATGATCCAGCCTGATGCTAAACAGGGACCCCCAACACCCAGACCCCAGCGTAAATGGTCATGCTGTGTGTCTCTGGGACTTTTTCAGTGATGGGTCCGAACCACAGGAACCTCGACGACTCCAGCTGAGCCTTGTCTCTCTCTCCCCCATCTTGGGGGCTTGCCCACAGTCTGTTCAAAGTGGCAGCTGCAGAGCAAAAGTGAAACCAGGCACTTGGCAAACGTCTTTCCTCTGTCAAGCGTGGCTTATGGAGCCACCTCCAGAGGCCTGGGGGGTGCTAGGAATTCTGGTGGATGTTTTCCGAAGACCCTTCACTGCTTTCATTGAGAGCGGTCTCGGAGGTCTCCTCCAGCTCATCGTCAGCCCCTTCCTCCTGGATGGTGAGGTGCACATCTGGAGAGGAGGACTCAGAGCTCACACTGTCCCCTTCCATCGAGCAGAGGGTGCAGGACAGCGCCGGCGCCACACTCTCCTGCAGCATGTTCAGCATCATGGGCACCTGCACTGACCTCAGGCCCGACATCATGGGGAGCGGCTTCATGGCCTCCCCCCACAGCCTCTCCTCGTCTTTGTACAGCAGCAGGAGGCTGGACTTCTTCTCCCGCCTCTTGGATTTCATGTAGCCCAACATGATTCCGATCAAGAAAATTCCATAGAAGGACATAACGACAAGAATATAGAAGTATTCATTGCCATTACCGCTGCTGTTACTAGGCACATGGGACTCCAGGGGGCTGCTGGAGGCTGCGGCACTGGGGTGTGTACTGTTCAGAGGCTCCATTCTCAGCATTGAAATGCCGCTCACACAGCCGGGGTCTGGAGAGAAAGCTGCAAGTTAGACCATCCACATGGATCCACAGTACAAGCAGAAGGCAAGCACGTGGCTCGTGAGGTTGCAATAGATCAAAATAGGTAATTACAAACAGGAATGAAAGAAATAGCAGAATGTAAGGCATCTTGTCAAACAGTTAACGGGGGTTAGCTCTGAGAGCTTGAAGCAAGTAAGAGAAAACAAGGGAGAGAATGGAGAAGAGTGAGAAAAACTTCCACCAGATAGAAAGATAGATGGCAGATAAATAGATAGATGAAATTCATTTGCATTTCAGAAAATACCCATGCATTAATTCTAAACTTTAAATATTATGTACCATACAAAGTTTCATAGAAAAAAAATATCTTAACATTTGAAAGGCATGCTTTAACTGGCAGAGCAGAAGCGAACTTTACATACTGTTTCAAAAGCTTCCACTTTGTTAAATCCAAAGTTAAACTTCCTTAGAAGAAGAAAAAAGCAAAAGAACTTTCTCTGTTAATACTTAAAACTATTCCTCTTGCATGTCTCCGAAAAGAAGGAGCCTCACTAACTTACCAAAGGCTGGCAGTGTGTCCCAAGTGTGGAACTCCTAAATGGCTGAATCCGAGGACGTTTTTCTTCTGTGTTGGGCGCTGAGCTCTGACAGCCCCGCTGCTGGCCTTGGGATATATAGTCAAGAAATGCATCGTCACGTGTTCTGGGAGGAAAATTTACAACAGGGGTTGACTGTGGCGGAGCGAGCAGTGAACTCAAAGCACTGCAGTTCAACTCTCTGAACTTTGCAGCTGTGAAGAAAAAAGAGGGAGGGAGTAGGAGCTGCTTGCTCCTCCCCAGCTCAGAGCAAGAGGCTTCAGGTGGCCAAAACGATGTGAGACAAGGAGAAAGAGTGTACTGCATTTGAAATGTTACCCCAAAGCCTTCTCTCACCAACAAGGAGTCTATGTTCCAGTCCTCTTGTAAGAAATAACCAACATGTCATCTATAGGTTTTCACAGGAAATCCAATCCTGTCATTAGAACAAAAGACATCAGAAGCAAGGGCAGAATTTATAGTGAAGAAATAACAGCTCATTTTAACTTCTTCCACTAACTGATAAACCCTTCCTTATTCCATGCCTCGGACTGGTGCAGTAAAATTGTTGGCTAATGAGGGACAGGACTGTTGAGCAAGCAGAGTTCTGGGAACCATATTTTAAGTTCATTTCCTCTTAACCACTGTAAAAAGCAAGGTTGGCTAGTGCAGGTTAGCCCTTTAAAAGCACTGAGAGTCTACCTGTCTCCACACCAAGCTCACAAATACATTCTTTATAGCCTCTTTGGGAATCTTCCAGATTCTTTCTCCCCGGGGCTTGGTGGACATCTGTAATCCAGTTGTTGAGAGGCTGAAGCAAGGGAACCAGGAGTTCAATGTCAGCCTGGGCTGCAAAGATAAATGCCTTAGGAAAACAAAATTCTTCCAGATCCTCTTTAGTGATCTGTGTGAAGAGGAAACGTACTGGTGAGAGCCATTAAGAGCTCCGTTCTGCCTTACGTGGTTGCCTCTGAAGCAACCACACAGACTATGCTGAGTATCTCAGGCAGGTCATGAGAGAAGTGGGTGTTCTCTCAGTGAACCACCAAACAAGGTTCAAGTTCTAAATACCTCCATGAGCTCTGTGTTTAAAAGGCTGCTTGGAGTGACATGGGAAGAGCCACCAAGGACTTGGTCGCCAAGTCACTTGCTCCCTGGGATGTTTACTCTAAAAGGCTGTCATTCTAAGTCCAAATAAGCTGGCAGTAAACTGCCCTTTACTACCAGTAGCCTCCGCTCTCAGAGCTGCAGCAGGAGTGGCATGCAAGCCAACTCTAAACAGAGCATCACTCACGGGTGGGTCCAGTATCATGGAGTTGAAGCTGAGGAGAGGCATGGAAATGTTCCTCTGACTGTTCACAGCACATAGGGCCCATGTGCTAGAATTGTCACTGGGAGTCTGGCTTTGTGACCGATGCAAATTTGGACAGGCATCCTGAGAAAAAGCATTGAACCAAGAGTCATGGTCCTGGACTACTCACCTGATGCTTTGGTCTGTACTGGTGAGAGCCATTAAGAGCTCCGTTCTGCCTCACGTGGTTGCCTCTGAAGCAACCACGCAGACTATGCTGAGTATCTCAGGCAGGAGTGGCATGCAAGCCAACTCTAAGCATAGCATCACTCACCCCAAAACTCCCAGCTGGCACTGAGGTGTTACCTGCCATTGATCCCAACACCAAGGTCATTCATGCAATGACATTTTGCTCCTATCTGTACAACTGTGCTCAGCACTCTGTCAATTCAAAACTCCACAGCTACATGGTAGACCTGGCCTTTCCCACCCGTCCTCCACCTAAGCACTGGTAGAGGTCCATCCATATGTGCTTGTGGTGGCACATCTGGATGGTTAGAGTAAGAAAGACCCATGGGAAGCCTTCCTATTGGTGCTTGCCATAGTATTAGTCCTCATGTGCCTGGGGATGGATGAGGTCAGTCATCACTAGGGAGTTGCCAGGCGTGGCAAACTGGAAAAGGCAAGGTAGGAAAATGAGTCACCAGGTTTGAGTAGTGACAGCTACACTGCCAGGTGTCAGAAAGACAAGCAAAGGATGAGTAGCCAACAAAATTAATCCCAGGCTTGAGCCTACAGCCCCAAGGCACTAAAACCAGCAATAGTCCTGGCTTCCAGAACAAATCTAGAAAGAATCCAAAGGACTAGGAAAGTAGAAACAGAGGAAGAGTCAAATCCAGGGCAGGAGTTGTCCCAGGCATCAGAGAAAGGATACATGAAACAAGACTGCCTTTCGGTGGCCCTGTGATGATGCGCCCAAACTCTGCAGGAGTCCTTCTAGGAAACAATTCAAGGAAAGCACTGAGACTGACCTCCTCCGGCAGAGATGATTGCTCAATTTATGTGGTTTGCTGTCATAGTTAGCAACCTGCCTCAACCTCCTAGCTCTGAAATTCCGGATGTGTGTCCTTGGCATCCAGCATTTTACGTAAATGCTGACACTTGAACTCAACTCCTCATACTTGAGTGACAGGCACTTTCCCAACCGAACCATCTCTCCCTGTAGAATCAAGATTTGAACACAGATCTGTGGGACACCAAAGCCTTTGCTTCTGCTCTCCTTTGTCTCACTGAAGGGAAACTAAAAAGTAATTCAGAGATAGAGTAGAAAATGAAAGTTTGTTATTTATCCAACTTCTCTGGGGTCTTTATAAGTCTTAAGATAATATATCTAGATGACCAAGTACGCAAACGTAAGTATGAACATTCCATTACAAATTGTATTTTTTTTCCTGAAGTTCATGCTATTCTCAGCATTAGAAACTGTGCATCCTTAGAATATTCTAGAAAGAATATGTCGGTGAAAGAGTAATACCCTTGCCCTATATCCATGTGACCCCAAATACAGCCATTTCCCTTTAGCCTACATGCACAGCTTGTCTGTGGTCTCATGTTTTGATGTGGTGTGTTGTTTTCTTTCTCTCTCCCTCCCCCTGACTCATCCCGACACACACTTTCTCTAGAGCTTTCAGTATTTGAGGACTTTCATTTCCTGGTGACGTCATTTTCACCAGATGACCCAAGAGTCCCTGGCTGCACATCTCTGAAATTATGTTAACAGCTTCAGTGACTAAACAAAGTCCATGCTGGGATAACAGCAGAACCATGAATCTCATCGGATTAAACATGAGCACAGAGGGCAGAGATCAGACCCAGCTCTTTCTCACCCATGCTACGTGACTGGTTCCATTGCATAATTTCTCTGTGTTTTGGTTTTAGCCACCCGAAAGCATGTCTAGAGGCAGGCTTATCAAGAAAAGGATCATTAATTGTGTCAAGATACTCAGCAGTGTCCCATCATTCACCGGGCCCTCCCACTCCTGAGCAGCCTGGGCTGCAGGTCTGACAGAGCTTTGCAGAACAAAATCCCCTGCACCCACCACTGCTTTTGCTCTTCCAGAAACTCTTTCTGAGAAGTTGTATCTGGGAATGCTCAGGATGGGTCATCCCTGAGTCACCCTCCCTAGACACATAGTTCTCAACATTCCTAGCACTTGGAATAAGACAGGCACAGGGCTGGGTATCTGCCAGGTATGTAGTGTAGTATGACCCTATAACACTGGCTATGCCTAGGAGGATAAAGCTATAAGCAGGGCATCTTAGACATCATCCAGAGATGGTTGGGAGGAAAGAACCCACAACTCATGACAGTAAAGATTAATGCTGCTACTAGCTCACATTTATTATTTATTTTTCAAGCATTTTGTCTGGTATTTATTTAACAAATATTTGGATAATATCTACAATGTACCAGGAATTGCTCTAAGTACTTCTTAGATTTTATTCTATTTAGGTCTCATTAAAAAAAAAAAAAAAAAAAAAAAAAAAAAAAAAAAAAAACCTATAAGGTGGGGCTGGAAAGACATCTCAGTGGTTAAGAGAACTGACTGTTCTCACAGGAGACTCCAGTCCAGTTCCCAGAACCTACATCAGGGTACTCACAACTGCCCATTATTCCAGCTACAGGGGATCTGACACCTCTTCCAACCTCCTTGAATGCTTGCACTCATGGGCACACACACACACACACACACACACACACACACTTGAAAATAAATAAAACAAATCTTAAAATAAAAACTATAAGATAGTATTGAATTGACTTTATATCCTAAGGAAAGTATAAACAAGCAATTGTTCTCCCCAGATAAATGCCAGTGACAAACTAAAGTAGAACTGTACCAAAGTCCAGCTTGGTGACAGCAATGAGCTTACTGGGCTTCCTTATGGAGCATAAATAAGGGATTACTTACACAAGTGTGGGTAAACCCAAAACAGCTGGAGCACTGCAAAGTCTCATGCCATCAGAGCAAGGAAGTTTCCGTAATCCCCCTGTCTCCACTCCTCACTGTACCAACAGGTGCTGGGAAAGCAACTCACATATTCTGGAAGAGAAGAGCAACCAGTGCTCTTAAATCATTGAGTCATCCCTCCAGGCTGACAAGAGTTGACTAGAAAAGTTAGGGAATCTGCCCCAGATTTCATCACAGGGCAAGGAAAACATGACTGTAGAGATCAGATCTAAAGAGTGGTGGGACCCAAAGCTGACACCTTGAAGGACTTGCTTCTTCATCCTGTCACCTGTGTCACGACTTGGAGTGGTGCCAAGCACAGAGCATATATCCCCTTCCATCACCACTGAAGGAGGACACAAAAAGACAGTGAATGGAAGATCCATGCATCATCTAACTGAAATTTAAATATGAGAACCAAAAATTATTGTTCACTATTTCATTCCCAGTACCTAAAGTGGCACCTGGTGCACAGTAAACCTAAGCCTATGTATTACCTGAATAACAGGAAGAATATGCTAGAGGATCTTCTCATACTTTATTTGATTTTTGCAAGAGGCTAATGAAGACAAGTAGCAGTCTTTTTCTATAAATGTATACTGGGAAGCCGAAAGGGGTAACGTGTCATGTCACACAGCAGAATGCAGGGAACTGCGATAATATGTCCCACCTCCTACCAAAACTGAGCCAGACACATACTCCCTTTCTGGGACACACAGTGCTCAGCGGCTGTTGGTCACTTCCTCTGGCCCCACTAATGAAGAGGTCAGGCTGGAAAGAGGATACTGAAGAAGAGCATCAGGGATTCCAGCTGAGAACAGAACTGACATTTATTTTTTCAGTGTTCTAAAGCTTTTTAAAGATTTCTTAAAACCCTCTAAGTACCAGACA